GCCGCGCCAAATGTTGCCACCCAAATGTTGCTGCCCAAATGTTGTGTAGCCACCAAAGCCGCGTGCGGGAGGGTCTGCGCTCCAAAATCGAAAGAGTGTTGAGCCCACAGCCTCGGACCAAAAACGAAAGATCGACAGGGCTTAGAGCCGCAGGACGCAACGATTTCGGCCTTTAGCCCCAAAATTTTGAGACTGAGCGAATCGCAGCTCGACGATTGTGGACCCGAGCGAAGCGAACGAACTCACGGAGCGAACGGAGCGAACGAGAGAACGGAGCGAGCGGAGCGAAGTGAGCGGAGTGAGAGTGAGAGCAGCGAGAGAGTCCACAGCGAGATTTTGGGGCCAAAAGGGCCGAAGATCGTTGCGTCCTGCGGCTTTGAGCCCATCTTTCGTTTTTGGTCCGAGGCTGTAGACTCAACACCTTTTCGATTTTGAATCAGCTCCCTTGTAGACGNNCAGACCCTCCCGCATAAGAGAGAGCATTAAGGAGCCAACTATCCCTCACACGCGGGCTTGGGTTCGCTCTTGAGCTTTAAGTGAGAAAGCTCAAAGGCTACTTTGCTTTTAACACAAGAATAGACAACCAAATTGTTGAAAATGAAGTTGAAACAAGTTGGAATTTCGGATCCTTTCGAAGCCAATTTGTGTTGGCGATTTACGAACTTCGTGGTCAGACCTCGAAAGCGGGTCAGACGTCTGCATTGGCGAGAAAGCAGGCCCGAGAGGTCCTTCTAAACAGCTTCGAAAGATTCGAAGCTCCGAGACCGTCTTTCGGCAAAAGAGACATCCCAAAGCAAACGCACCATTGGCGTGCTAAGACTAGAAGGCTTCCAACTGTCCCAAAGCTAAACTATCAAAGAGCTTGCCAGACTTTTAACGAATGGGCGTAAAAGCGCGCGAAGCTCAGTTGCGGAAGACTTTGCGGCGTCAAGCTAAAGGGGCCTAGTCCAGCAGTCCAGTCCAGCCCAGCCCAGCCCAGCCCAGCCCAGTCCAGTTCCAGTTCCAGCCCAGTCCAGTCCAGCCCAGCCCCGCCCTCTGAGCATCTCATAGTCAACGCCCATCTTACAATTCACTCAGAAACACATTGCAGTGTTGCACCAATGGGCTGATTGTCCAGCTTCACACTCACTGACGACGACTTGGCATTCTGCTTGCGTCAGTATGACGTTACCAGCGACATGGTTGTGCAGTGGGGAATTTACTCTATCTTACTTCGAGTCTGTGCTCTGACCCACGATGGTGCACGCTACAAGGGGAACAACTGGTAAACTAGGTTCGCGACAGATCCATGCCAACAATGCTGTGTTTTCCGTGGCATTCTGACAACAACGGCCAGAAAAGACGACTTTGAGATTCTTGCTGGGGCACACCACTGGACAAATTGCCAGCTTTTCACACGCGGCAATTGCAAAATCCCTCTCTCGAAAGTCTGAAGCAACATCTTTGACTGAGTGAAGGCTCAGAGATGGAGAGCTGCAATGTGGCAGCCAAAGTTAAAGGCTCTGATGTGCCAACTGCTGTGCTACCCAGGTATGCCAATGGCTGTGCTGCCTTTGCTTCTTTGCTAATATAAATTCCGTTTTGGGGCACAAAATGAAATGGGCAATGCAGCGGAGACAAGAAAATTCCTTTTCCACAGTAGCGGCTCATTAAGAATCGACCATTTTTGGAAGAGACTCCCAAATTCTTTCCACTTTCTTGGTGTTTTGTTAAAACCGGACTGCATTTCAAGTGCTTTTAGCTTTTCTGCAAGCACTCTTAACACGACATAAACAATTAGGTTTGCCTGCAAAATCTTCGAGACCACTTTTGGAACCCAACGACACCTTGGAGATGTGCGGAGTTAGTCTCGCCAGTGCGAGTAAAGTTGCTAACAGCATTCTGAGCTCTGATGGAGAGGCTGGTTTGCGTTGGATTTGTCACTAGGCTGCCCTAAACCTGGGTGCTGGCTCTCGAGCCAAGACAAGCAGACGGAGGTGTCAAAAAAAACCTTCAAGTCTCTGAGAGCTGTAATGTTTCGCCGACGTGTCAAGAGTTTCAGATGTGCCGGCTCTGCTGCTGCATGGGCCCCATGCCTTCGAGCAAAGGGGTACTAGGCTGGAAAAGCAGAAACAAGTAAACGACAATCGTGGCATCTGGAGGCGTAGCAGACTCCGTGCGTCCTCTGCTTCTGTCAAAAATGCAGTCCGTTCTGGCAAGACAAACAAGATTTGAAGAACGATGTTTAGGCAGCAAAATAAAACTGCGAAGCGTGCCGCTTGAATCTAGAGCCCACAGCGGCCGCATGCCTCAAACTGAGGTGCTTGTTCTCTTGGCTGCAGAACCCGTGGTTGCAGCTCCCGGTAGGACTTCCGCGCGCTCCGCATTTCAGGTGTTTACGTCCACCTCCGTCGGTTTTTCAAGCACACGGTGATTCAGAACAGGGCTGGGGGCTGGGGGCTGGGGGGCGGGGGCTTGGGGGCTGGGGGCTGGGGGCTGGGGCCAGGGACTGGGGCCTGGGGCTGGGGGCTGGAGGCTGGAGGCTGGGAGCTGGGGCTAGGCTGGGGGGCTTTGCGGACGCTTTGCGGACGCTTTGCGGACGCTTTGCGAACGCTTTAACGACGATCCCTGGTCAACGATTGGACCCCTGGACCCCAACCTTTGAAACGGGAACCCTTCTCGGGAAAAGGTTGTTCAGTTCTCTCCAGCTCTGTGACAGCCAGGCTGTGCGACGTCAAAGAGCTCTTGCGGAAGGAGCTTTTGAGCTTTTACAAGCCTGTTATTTCGCTTGCAAGCATGGTGTTGGTCTGCATGTCTCTCTCTCTCTCTCTTTGCTGGTGTTCGCAAGGCGTGGTCTGATGCGCTCAAGTCGAGACATGGTACCTCTTGGTTTTGTCACGCAGAATCAGTGCTCCGTTGATGTCATGGAATATTGCGTGAACCATGGAGCTGATTCCACATTTGCACATGATGTTCGCGGGCGATGATACATGATGTTCGCTGCTGCGGCAGCCGTGACTATTTGTGCCGAGATGCCAGAAAAAAGAGGAGCGAATGGGGTAAGCAAGAGATTCGTAGAGTGATTTCTTCTTCTCAAATTTACTCACAAAGCCGCCTCAATCTTTTGGATCAGTTCTATCGATATCCGGAGTCATTGGAAATACAAGCCTCTTGCATGCCCACGGTGGCGCATCGCCACACTGGAGGCCCAAGCGGGTGCCGCGCAATCATGCGTCGTGGAAGCCTCTCAAAAAGCAGATCACGTCCGCTCTGATGCACCACCATTGTGCTCACATATTGACGACGAGTTCTTCTCAATTCCAAGCGCCTCGAAATACGACAAATACATTTCTCGCACCCCACAGTATGGATGGACAATTCTCCGTTTTACCGCAAGGTCTCGAATATTACCGGAAATAGAGCCTCTTGGACACTCGTTGTTAAAAAGCCTAGCCGCAAGCCCCTCTAATAGGTCGGTGCAGACGCGACCAAACTTGGGACCTGCACTTGCACAGTACACAGGTTTGTTGCCAGTTTTCCGTTCTGTAGGTCTTCTTGTTTCAGTTTCCGCACCGCAACAAACAAAAAGATCGTTTTATCGGTCGTTTTTCCGTTTCAAGGGCGTGTTTGATATCCGTTGCTGCAGTGGTGCTTGTCTGATAAATCATTGATGCTGGACTACTTGGCAGTGTCACATTGGACATCAGGGTTTCCATGAGTGTGATTGTCGAAGACATGCGCACAGGGTGGACTTACCATTGTGAAACCACATATTAAAAGATGGTAAGTGCACCACCTCGTTGTGACAAGAGTCAAAAGTTGAAAATGAAACATGTGTGAGTTCGTCCGCAGCATCAAAGCAGAGTGGCCCTGTAGTCAGCGTCATTACGGACAAGATGGCACTGTGGGAGGCCAGGTGTGTCATTTCGTCTTCGTTCACATTCGCGATTCGCACGGCCTGGGCAATTTGCTTGTTCATCGCGGCAGCATGCAACACAACCAAGCTGCCAAGCTCCCATCAAGTTCGCAGGAAGGCATGTGTGCAAGTTTCGCGGTTCCAGCATGCGATCGGGTGCAAGCAAAGCCTAAAGCTCGACACCTTGTCCAGCCCTAGCAGCTGCAGATTTCGTGCCATGCATGTAAACATGTTTGGGCAGGTTGTTGGTGGTGCCGGTCATGGAGGCGTCCTGGTCCGGTCCGGCCCAGCTCTTTCGGACGAACTTTGTGAAACACGGTTGGCAACTGGTGCAGTGGTCAAGGAGCTCGCCCCGTGTGCACAGATTTTGTTGCAGTATTCGACGTTCTGGATAAGAGTCACGCGCGAGGAGGTTGAGACGACGGATGGGCGGCTGTGTTACGAGCTAGTTCGAGGTGATGGCCCCGCCACCGGCTGGGTTTCTATGAAGCTGCGTGGGAGGGTGACTCGTCACGACAATAGTCCCGGGCTGAAATGCAAATGCCACGCAACACCGGGTGTCTGCATTCTGGTCGAAACGCCACAGTAGGCCTTCGTTACCTAGATTCTCGACACCAGGACCTTCTGGTGAAGGCTCACGACACTCACGAGGAGGAATCAAACCGTGCTCAGCGCCGCGGCAGATTCTCAGAATGGGCATCACAGAAGACAGAGGCATCACTTTGCTTCATTTGCGGAGAAGTGGTTGTTCTTGCAGAGTTCCATTGTAGAAGAATATGCTGAACAGGTCGCTGTGGTTGAGGAGGCTTCGACAGGAAGCGATGTTGAGATGGCAGCTGCAGGCGCAAGTGAGTCATAGCCTCAGGTATGGAGCCACAGCAGAGACGGATACTGAAACTGCAGACCTATGATCGGTGTCTAGGATGAACGTTTTTCGTGGCTGTGATCTCAGTCTCAGGTCCGGAGAGAGCACCCCCGTTATGGCTGTGGCAGAGAAGGAGCCAACAGAGGCCGGTCCCGACAAGCTCGCAATCCTTCGCTGGGCTGCAAGTCCGGCAGCATGGCCCTGAGGACGAGCGAGAAGCCTTGCGCCAGTACACGGAGAAGTTTGGGGAATGCCGGGATGGCTCCAACCCAGGCGCCCGGGCATCGCAGTATGTCGCAAGGCGCTTGATTCTTCGAGTCAACATGTGCTGAGCTGTGTTGTGGAGGCTACAGCCGGAAGGCGTTCCCATGGTTCACCGGAAAGCCGCCTCAGGAAAGGACATAGAACAAAGAAATCCTGCATAAGAGTGTGGGCGACTTTGCAGGGGGAGAAGCTCTCCGCGGAGTCGCTGCAAGCTGCGCTGAGCTACCGGCCGACCAAGAAACGTCTGGTAAAGGTCAACCTCACTGAGGCCAAATTCGGCATCTGGCCATTTTGAACGTCAGCGATGCTGTGCTGCTGGTGTTAGTGCATAGTTTCAGACAAGAAGTGTCTGCAACAGTTGAAGATATCTGCAGACGATTGGCAGGTGGATTCCGATCGGGAAGAAATCCCACTCTGCACCCGTTGCTCTTTGCCTGTTGGCGAGTTTGCCTACCAGGGTCGCGAGGGCAAGGATACTTGCGTTCACACCGAGTGCATGGCACAGGCAGGTGGGAATGTGGCAGTGTGCTGGTGAGCCGCAGGATGAGAGGAACTTCTGCAGAATTTTCTTTGCCGAAAAGTTGCCGCAGGTTCTCATGAAGGAAGCCCAGCGCGAGGAGGAGCATCGCACGACGCGGGAGAACAACAAGAAGCTGAAAAACCGCAGGGTGACTCTACTTCCATGTTAATGATAGTGGGCTCTCCGAAGTATGAAGCGACGCTGTCCTGGCGGAGTGTAACAGAGGTTGCATCCCTGTGTAGAAGAGTAAACAAAGGCTACAGCACTGGATAGAGCAACTAACTGCCCAAAGCCCGACTGTCTAGTCACTAAGTCAAGCTGTTGGATTTTGTCCTACATGTCGGTTCGTCTGAGCCCTTCTAACTTCCAGATCCGTGACAGGCGTGTACTTGTCTTTCATGTGTCGTAGAGTTGTGACGCACCTTCTAGAGAGAAATCATGGCACGAAAGGAATACAACATCGGCTGGCGGATGGACAGCGTTCCGACGAATGCTAGTCTGGCCGAGCGCATGGGCTGCCACCCAGCTCCGCAGGGGCTTTGTTGCCTGGTGCCCCGAGAATTAAACAAGAATTCCGAATTTTTTTGTCACGATCCTTGTGTTCATGTGAGGTACTGGATGAGGCTTCGAAGACCGTTCGTGTTGCCGCAACGTTTCGCGGTATGCCAATGAAAACAGGTTGGAAGAGTATGGTCTCCTGTCAGGTACAGGTGCCCGGTCAGGCCCAGGGATGGCTCATAGTTTGGATTCCTGGATGTAAGTAGCATGGAAGAGGAAATCATGCGCTGGATGTTGTCCGGAGACTGAAGATGTTGGGTGTGTAGTGAGAGTGGGAGTAGCAGCTACTAGTAATGGCTCAGATGTCAACTCTTCTTCCAGGTTCGCAAAAGCAAAGTGAGAATTGGTGACTGCACGGTTGGCATCTGCTGTGTCATGTCCAATACCTGAGACTTAGGCTCGAGCCATCGGCTTCGGTGAACCTGGAATACCTCCTGCTGGCCCTGAAGGCAAGCTTGGAGTCTAACTTCACGCCTATGCTTTGTAAGTAGTGCTCTCCACGCAGCAATACTCATCAGTGGGACTCATGGTAAGGGTACTAGAAATAGATAAGTAGTGACAAGACAGCCCATAGCCAAGTCGACAACCATGGCAGTAATGATACTGGCAGTGACAGAAGTTGCAACAAAGGTGTTAACGTTGGAGCTGAGAGGTCATAACTGTCGCAATCATGAACATAGTGGTCGTAGCAACCGTAGGCCAGCATTAAAATCGCAAGTGAGTGCCAGCAGTGCTGACGATGCTCAGACTGCAAGTCGTCGTCGTCGTTTTCGTGGTCGTCGTCGTCGTAGTGTCGTAGGAGTTGCAATGGCACAAGCACTTAGTAGCAGCAGCTGTAGTAGCAGTAGTAGCAGTAGTAGCGGTAGTAGCAGTCGTAGCAGTAGTAGCAGTGGTAGCAGTGGTAGCAGTGATAGCAGTAGCAGCAGTAGTAGGTAGCAGTAGTATCAGTAGTATCAGTAACAGGAGGAGGAGTAGCAGTAGTAGCAGTAGTAGTTTTTTACTGTACAAGGAACGGAAGAGCGCAACAAACAAGCTCTGAATTTATTCCTCCTCATACTGTCCTACTTTTCTGTCGTTCTTTTGTCCAGACGTGTGCTTCTGAACTCTGCCCGTTTGTTTGTCATGCGCGTCTTAACTCCCCATCCGTGCCTTGGCTGCAGTAGTCTGGCGCCCCCTCCTGAACCCTTCGAGGCGGGTGGCTGTTACGTTTGCGGAGCCCCCTGAATGGGGAACAACTGACTAAGTCATGGTATATACAAGCGTGTACTGTGTGTGCGGGTATATTTGTGCAGTCTGTACATACAACGTATCCATATGTATGTAGCTGTATGTATGTGTGTGTATGTATATCTGTCTATCTATCTATCTATCCATCTATCTATCTATCTATCCATCTATCTATCGATCTATCTATCTATCTGCATATGTGCGTATGTATTTATCTACGCATGTACATGTATGTGTATGTTTCGTTTGTGTATTTTTGGTGTGCATATATTCAGGTATGTATCTGTGAATAACCATGTATCTCTCTCAATGTGCATACGTGTGTGTATATATATATATGTATGTGTGTATAGAT